TGTTGCAGCTGAAGGACTCGGAAAGGAAGAGCAGGAAGTTCTTCACTCTCTGGGAGAACGTCATGTGGTCTGTCTGGAGGGAGAATATCCGTGGGACGTAGGACGGTGGGTCCGGGCCCTGAGCAGCCTGTTTGTCAATGTTACACGGAACACCCCTCAGGAAGAACACACTGGGGATGGAGAACTGAACAGCAATGATCTGCCCACAGGGATTGAAGGGATCCGTGAAGATGGCATCAAATTTGCTGTCTTGGATGTATTTCATCATCTCCTTGTTGTACAGCAAGGATCTGCAGGCTGCTTCAAACAGGGCAGCGGTTTTCTGGAAATGTTTCAGAGTATTCCAAAATCTGACCAGGAAAGGCTCTTCACTAAAGCACATCAGACCCAATGAGCGTAGCTGTGCTTCCATCTCTTCCTTCTTGATAGGGACAGGGTAGGTTTTCAAGTCATAGACATCTGAGGAGCCGATGTATACGCTGTTGTCCGGTACCAGAACCACAATTTCGTGCCCTCTCTTGCTCAGCTCTGCCACCACTTCCTTCATGCTGAGCCAGTGGCTGCCCTCCATGGGGATCACCAGCAGCTTCCCAGCACTGGCAGGACTCAGGAGGCACAGGAAGGGGAGCAGCAGTGCCCTCAGCATGTTGGAGCTGCCCGGAGAGGAGCCCACACACTGAGAGGCCAAGGCTGGCTCTCAGGCTTTTGTAGCTGTGCCCCACCCATGCAAACACCCCACTGGGCAGCACTTCCACTGATCTCCTGCCCTTGGACTTGACTCCCATTCCAGGTGTTCACAGGTTAGCATGTAGCAGAGCCACGGCAGGTTATTCATCATCATAAAAGGGAAAGGTCAGGGTTGTGCTTCCAAGGCGGCTTTGCGTGAGCCCAGGAAGGTGTGTCACCTTCAGGCACCTCACTCGCCCGAGCTGAGACACCTCAATGCCTCAGACTCCTCTTCTTGCCCTCAGCCACCTGGCATTTACTGACCAAGGCAAGTTGCACAGTGAAATATAACTTGGAGAGAGATATGAGATATCAGAGTTGAAGTATCTGGGGTTTGGGTTTTGTTTTGTTTTCCATAACCCAAACCATTGGGCACCACTGAGAAAAATTCCATTTCTTTTCATTAATGCAAACTTCCCTTTTTTCTGAGAGAAGCAGCCAACAGGAAGTCTTCCCTCACCTCTCCACACAACTTTCACCTAACCCCTTATCTTGTCAGCGCTAAAATGAGGTTGCAAAACAGCAGTTCACCGTTGTACCTCTGATAACACAAACCACCAACACGCTCCCAATTCACCAAGTCATGAGTCGTTCATGGCCAATGTTGGGGCAGTTCATGACCCCAATCCCGTGAGTCCAGGTCCTTCCTGGTTATGAATTGCTGGGGCTTTAAAAGTTGGTGATAACCTCTCATTAAAGTTTAGAAGTTCATTAGTAGGTGGCAGGGCAGGTGCCTTTGGATGGATTTCCCTTCTGCAGGGCATTCAGAGCTCTACATCCCTGGTGGAGTTCACTTTTTCCAGATTTCTGCCCTTCCCGGGAACCTGCCCTCCAAAAGGAGCAGCTCCATCACCCACACTATCTCCACATTGGTAGTTAGGCTGATGTTAAATTCCCACCCTCTGGAAGCAGTCAAACCCGCATCTCTTCCAAAGAGATCACAGCCACCAGGATGTATCAGGCAATCCCAGATGTGAGGAGGAGGACAACAATCCCATTTGGCTTTTTTCCTTCACGGTACTAGACCAAAAAAAGGAACTGAAGGCTGAGGGCAAAGAGGGAAAGGAGGGTGGAACAGGCCTTTGGGGACACAAAGAAGGAGCCATGGCCTTGAAAACCCTTTTTATGTATTGGGAAGAAAGCAAAATTTCGGAGGAGGTGTGATACCTTTCCCTAATCCCACCGAGAGCACAGACACATGGAAAACCCCAACAACTAAACCAGACCTCTGAGCTCTCCTCCTTTCACAGACACATTAGCAACCACATCCAAGTGTCTCCTGGACTCTTCAGAATTTGGCAGCTGGATGTGTGGCTTTGAATCCACTCCCAGAGAGGCACAAGCAGTCCCTAAAATTCAAGTTTCCTGAGGGAAGAACGGATTGCTGAGCTGTTATAAATAAAAGTAGGTGGTGATACCCCAGCTTGGGTCTCCAAAGAAAGCCTGACCAGGATGGTGTGACCCCTTGTTTGCTGCCATTCCCTGAAATTCCCTGCAGTGAACTGAGGCCCTCAGGGCTTTGCTGCAGGAATGTTCTGGGGTTTATGCAAGTCAAAGCAGTGCCAGACCAAAGACTTTTGATAGGTGTGGAAGTCTTTTCGGGTGGTGCTAAGGAAGAGGTCCTGGAGAAGAAAAGAGCTGATGCAAAACCATCACCAGCACAAAGGTTTTCCTGTTTTTTCTCTCGGTGGTGGTGGGATTCCCAACACCTTCAGGATGGAGAAACAAACCCTGACAGCCTTGGAGAATGGTCTTTGTCTCAGCAGACACCCAAAGAGTGCTGGGACTGCTCTGAGAAGCTCCACTCTCACATTGACAAGGAGGAACCACCTTTAGACGTGGAAAACGCAATTTTTAGACAGGGCCAAAAATATGAGGGCCAATATTTGAGAGATATTTGGGAGACAGCCCACACTGAAGGTGTGGAAGGACTGACCACATTTATGATTAATTCTCATGAAATGCTGGAAATTCGGAGACAAAAGAGTTTATTGCAACTGCTGTGACAAGAACTGACCAAATTCATTTGGAACTTGCTACTTGGTGTGTTTTTTACTCTGGACTTGAAGATTTTCAGCAAGATCAGGTGGCTGAAAACAGCCAACAAAAGTTCACCTTGCCTTGACTGTAAGAGAAGAAATCTGATAGTATTGCTACACTTTCTTATTGACTCCACAGACTTTTTGTACCAGACCATCAGAGTAAAAATTGTGGTAAAGGTGAGGCGGCAACAGGAAGGGCGGAATTAAAGAAAAAAAAAAATCAAATTAGAGGTAAAAGGAGAACAACCAAACAGATAAAGAAAGGCTGAAGGTCCTAGGTTAGCACAGGTCAGAACAAAGGTGGGTAATCATTATTGAGAAAATTACCAGCCTGGCTCAATGTTTCAAACTACCATGATAAGTTTCTCTGTGTTTGTTTTTCATTAGGGGGAGCAAAGGGCACCCATAGCCCTTTCAGCTCCCGAGGGTGTGGTGCTCCTGATTCACGTGCAAACAGGGATCTGAGGAGCTGAGGGCTCCAAGAGTGAGAGCTGTGGGCCTGCTTGGAGGAAAACCTTCCCCAGTGGGGACCAAGGGACATCAAGTCTGTGTTAAACCAGGCTGGGGTGACACAAGGCTGCAGCTTTGTTCTCCCCTCAGGTGTGACAAAGCTTGTGGGGGTTATTCCAGGGTGTCTCTGAGCTGGCTTTGGGGAGTTGGGACTGTCCTAAAACTCTCCCCAGCTGCTCATCCCTGAGTTGGTCTGACTGGGATGTGTGGATTTCTGAGCAGCAAACAGTGGGATTAAGGAAAAAGGGTGGAAAATGGATATCTCAGCAGCACTAAAACTAGAGCTAAACCCAAATGTTTGTTGAGGCAGCCTGGAAGGGTTGGTTCCACAAAAACCAGGATTTGTTTTCCTCCTGTGGAATGAGATTGATGCCCCACTGGTGCTCTGGGCCCTGCAAGCAGGAAGAGGTTGCTCAAATCCGAGAGTTGTGGATCCCTGGAAGTGTCCGAGGCCAGGTTGGACGGGGCTTGGAGCACCCTGGGCTAGTGGGAGGTGTCCCTGCCCGTGGGACTGGATGAGCTTTAAGGTCCCTCCCAACCCAAACCATCCTGGGATTCAGTGTAATTGGATTTCCCAGGTCTCTGGATGATGGATCAGGCTTATCCCTGCAGGAATCCTTGTGCAATTGAAGCCAGCCCTTATTTTTTGATGCTAAGCAGGGTCTGGCAAGTGCAGCTTGGTTGTTGCTGCTGTGAACCTGCCCAATTCCCCCCTCAGGTTTTTCCTGCCCTGGCATTTTGCCTGCCTAGGATAAGAGAGGATTTAGTTTGGCCAGCAGGGCTTCAGAGGAAAGACAACCCACAAAAGCAATTCTGTGAGTTGGAAAGTAATTGAAATCTTTGTGAGGGCAAGAAGCTGCAGGAAAGGAGGTCACACAACACAGATCATTCCCTAAGCTGCAGCTCTTTCCTAAGCTACAACTAAAAATGGTACGAAAATGATAGTATATTATCCTGAAATTAATGACTATCCTAACAGAAAGGTGACATTTAAGGCTGTCCAGGTAACTGTAATTGGAACTAGCTTTTGTAGAGAAAATATCAGTGTATTTGATATTTCTAGATAAATATATTACTCCTAAACCCTTTGTAGATTTTTGTCCACAGACCTCTATCAAATATAAGTGCCTTTAGACTCATGTTAGAGAAGTAGTTTTAATTCAATTTCTTTTTAAATTTTAGTTTAACCAGAAGACGAAGTTCCCATGGAAAGGGAACCTGAGGCAGGAGGGGATTTCTGTGGAGGGACCTGTGTTTTACAGCTTCCTTCACTCTCTCCTCTACAAACCATGGGAGATGCAGGGATGTGGGGAGGAGCAAACCGAAGGGGCCGGGGCTCAGGGTCTGAGTTTACTTGGCAACCGGATTTCTGGCCTCAGTGAGTATGGAATTGCTACTGAGGGCCACGAAAGGTGCAGGGCAAGAGAAATGCAGCCTGAAGCAGCCAGTCTGAGTCACTTGAAGTGCAGTTTGTCTTCCTTAAGACCCAGGCCTGTGGCCTCAAGTTCTCCCACCCCGTCCGAGATGATTCTTACAGACCTTGGGGTCTGGCAGAGTCACAGAATAACCTGAGTTGGAAGAGACCCACAAGGACCTTCAGGGCTGAATCTTCAGTGACTGAATCCAGGGACTGACTCCACAACCCTGGCATTATTGTTTGTTTATTACTCCCATGATAATATTTATTCTTGCCCTATAATATTATTGTGTTTCTGAACAATAATGACCAACCCAGGGGTTACCAGTGTGTGTGAACAGGTAGATTTTTCCCCCTCCCCTCTGGTTCACTTCACACTTGTTTACTCTCTGCTGCATTTCTGCCTCCTTGCTGGGCCCTATTCCAAGTGAAATAGGAGCAATTCCTCTGCTCTCTGTAGAAAATGGGGCTAAAAAAGGAGGAATACACAAGGTTTTGCCAGGTCTGGAACATGTGATTGTCACCTGCTGAGCGTGTGAAGACAGAAGGTGGCAAGTAGAGAGATAAAATATTCGGTGATATATCATTCTGTAGAAAATGAGGGCAGGATGGCTCTGCCCCTGTAGCAAACTTACAAACTCTTTGCAACTCTAAGATCCTCAACACATAAAGTAAATGTCATGCAAAAAGCAAGAATTTGCCTCTTAAATCTCAAACTAGTGCCCATCTTTGAGTCTTAAGTGAAAGAATGCCTTAGTAAATTTCTAGCTCAGCTTTGAAAACCCTGCAGAACAATTCCAGTGAAAGC